GTATAGTGGTAAGAGGAAGCAGTCACCCATTTTCAAATATGGAATTTATATTCCATTATTAATATCGTATGTCCAAATACAAAGTCTATAGGTAAAATAAAATTTTATATTAATTTTGTGTTTGTACAGGTTTCATTTTTAATTAATTGTTTGATTAAAACTCTCTCTCACTGTGGCATGTCATTTCAGGATGTGTGTGATAATGGTTATCCATGGCTTCTTATTATTTTATTTTTGTCTTTTGTTGCACAAATATGCCAATTAGATTCTTTGATGTAACCTGTAAGTTAAATTCTCCAAGCCTTCTTTCCTCGTCATACATTCCAACAATCACAGCTCTGACATATGTATTATAGAACAGGCGGGCACAATAAAAGAAAAAAAATGTGAAGGGCCATATTGATTGCAGAAAATTAGCTGCGGACTGCAAAAGTAAACTTTTAAAGTAAATTACTGAATATGAGTGAGATAGAAACATCTATAAAGAAAGGGTGTACAAACTGAAAGTGTAAGAGTGAGATAGAAACCTGTTCAAAAAACTGGGGAAGAGCTTGAACCGGGCAGTAGGCAAACCTATCTACTCCTATTGAAAAGAGAAAAAATCCAGTATCCAGCAGATACATTAAAACTATAGAGTTGTATTAGGCTCTAGAAAGAACTGGAAACCCAACCCTAAACAGGAAACAAGGGATAAACCTCTATTCCTGTTGAAAATACTGGGGAGGGTCGGAAACTGGACAATTGGTTTGTCTATCTATTCCTATTGACTAAAAAAATAAATAAATAATTAGTAAATAAATTATAAATATATCATGGGACTTTTGGGGGGGTGTAAGTGGTGTAATAGTAGCTCAGAATGAGAAATTGAAGAGCTGAGTTCAAATCCCAGTCAAGTTCATTACATTCATTTACACGAAAATAACCTTGGGAATGGCATGACTCCACCCCCTTTATCTAGTTATTAGTTAAGCATCAGGATTTCTATGTAGTAAACCATAAAGGGTTGATAAATCATAAAAAAAAAACAGGCTAACTGTAAGTAAAGGGTAAGTAAGAATATTTTAGTGCATTCTTAAATTTAAAAATTCTGAAAATCTGGATTTAAAATAAAAAAATGACCAAAAATCAAAGATTGCGTCTTTTTCAAAACTAATTTACTAGCTCCCTTCAAGCCAGGGGGACTTCCTCCTCATGAAGGGCTTTTTACTTTTCAAATCTTCAACAATATTAATTGCTGCATAAAGTTTCCTTTTAAAAAATATATATATTCTCCTTTTTTTTAATCTACCTTGCTGGTGTTTTTTTTTTTTTTTTTTAATTTTAGGTACAATCCCCTTCTCTAAAAACAATAAAGCAATGGACTAATTATTTAAATATTTTGAGCATCTTAGCTTAGCAGGAAAAACCAAAGAACTTAGTAAAATTATTACAATAGGTCCAACAAAAAAAACTTAGTGTGTTTTTCTTTTTTTAGGAAACTTTGGTGAAACTTAACTTCAAATATCTTTCTTAATGTAAAAATTGGTAAAAATTTAAATTGGGTAGCAAGAAGACACCAAATGTTCGTTCAGACAAGTAAAGACGACAAGCTTTGTGTTTATTTTTTATTTTTTTTTAAGATATACTGTTTAGTGTAGTATATATCTTACTTAACAGTTAACTCATCAGTTGTCTTTTTTTGCAGGCCTTGTTTGACTTTATTGCTAAAGGTTTTATTTTTAGTCCGATTACCAGTGTAACATAGTTTATTAAGTACAACACGAAATTTTAGTCATCACAGGAAAGTTTAAAATTCAAACTTGGCACATATTCTGTTTCTATAGGAACGGCGGACAGGTAGACAACATCTTCCTAGCAAGGCAGTCTCTTCTCACGGATTCAATATTTTAGTTCGCCTGTAGCAGCTGGAGAGGAAGGGTGCTTTACTTTTCCTTCTCACAACAACACGTACTTGAACATACACGCAGTAAAAAAAAAAAAAAAAAAATGGATAGGAGAAAAAAGAAAACTGAAAATGCATCCATTAAAAAACGAAGAAGAGTTATAACCCTGCATCAGAAACTTGAAATCATCAAAAGGTACGACAGAGGGGAGAAAAAAGCCGAGATTGCACGCTCGGTTGGATTGAACGATGCAACAGTACGGACCATTTTGAAGCAAGCTGATGTCTACAAGAAAAAAGGACGGATGGTTTCATCTTCGATTGCCATGCAATCTACCCGAAATCGAAGCGAGAAAATGATTGAAATGGAACGATTATTACTTATATGGATCGAGGAGTGTAAACAGAATTGCATTCCACTGACGACCTACGGAATTAAAATGAAAGCACTGAGCCTCTTCTCGACTTTGAAAGGAGACAATGAAACGAAAGGAGAAAAAAGTTTTATTGGAAGCTCTGGGTGGTTCAAAAGATTCAAAAAACGAACACGATGGCACAATGTTAGAGAATTCATTTAATTTTAATTTCATTTCATTTGAATTGCAATTTTATTGTTCATTTTTCTTTCTTTCTCTCTCTCTCTCTTTCTCTCTCTCTCTTTCCCCTTCGTTTTCTTTCTTTTTCTTTACGATCGATTTTGTTTTCGATTTGTCATTTTTAAATTTTGTGGATATTTTTTTTTAAATAATTCTAACATTTACAGAAACTGCAAGAATGATAAATTACCTAAAAAAAAAAACAATTTTTTTTAGGGCGTATTTTTATCGTTTTTTAAATATTTATTCAAATTAATTAATATTTTATTTTTAAAATGTAACTTTTTTTAACATTTTTTTTCTTATTCTTTTATATACAGATAGGAATTTTATATTAAATGCTGTCTGGTCATTTTGTTGTTGAACCCTTATTTATTTTTAGTACGAATGCATTTTTTGTTAGTTTATTTTTTAAAAAGCAACACATTGAAATTTTCGTAGTTACGAACATTTTTTTTTTTTTTTTTTTTCCGATGTTCAATTTTAAAAAATGAAATTTGAAAAAAGATTTAAGTAATTTCAATATTTGTCAAAGGAAAATCACTTTTTTCTTTATTTAAAAAAATCTTATACAATATTTTAGTACAAATATTTAGCGAATTTAATTACGTAAGTTTTCTTATTTTACGATCGATATTTTATTTTTCTATTTTCAAACTTTAATTTTATTTCAAGATTTTTTTTAATTCTATAGAAATTACTAGAATGATTTTTTTTAAATAAAAAAAAAAAAAAAAGGAATAAAATAAAATTGGTTAAGTTTCTCGTCCGAAATGATGGTGGTCGTTTGCTATTGGAATGAAGGACATCTCTGGTCTTACGATCAAAACTCTAATTTTTTAAAACTTTTGTTTACTTTTTTATTTTTTCAAAATTTTTACTACTATGTCTTTTCATTCGTGAAAAATAAAAATTCATTAAAAACATAAATGTCCTCTTAGGTTTCCTTAAAAAAAATAATACACCGAGAATTAAATAAAGGTATTTTGTTTACCTTATAATTTTTTTAAGATTATTTTGTTTTTATTAGTTTTAATTTTAATAGTATTTTTTAATGTTAATATTTTGTTGTAACTGACCATTGCCCTCTACAACAACCGTGATTTGAGACGACGTGAGATCGCCATGTCTTCTTGTTTGTTTTTTTTTTTTATTTCAAATTTTCGTTTCTATCTTCAATATTTTATAATTTTTTTACCCACGAAATTTAAAAAAAATATATATATAATTTTATTAAGACTATTCAGTTAAAAAATGAAATTGTTAACGCGGATTACTTGGTCTGTCTAAGGATGGTGCGTACGACCTTCTTGGTTTGCAATGGGATATTACGGCGTCGCCCATTTGGCGTCGCTGATTCGGCGTAGGAATTTTTCGGCTGAGGACGATTAGGCGCCAGATTACTACTTCGTCGTTCTACTCAAATTTGTTCTTTCTCTCTTTCTCTCTCGTTTAGTAGTCAAATTAGTACTTCGTCCAATTTAAGAAAGAGTAGTTGGAGGCATTTTTATATTATATTTCCTTCAGTTCAGCTTCATATTTTTCGGTCGTCAAAGCCATTTTATTCCAAATGGAAACAAATATTTTATCAAAACGTGGAAGAAACAAAGTGGTACACAATGGATACCTTTTTATTGTTGACGCAACGAGCAGGAGGGATCCTGAATTAAAGTTTTGGCGATGTGAACAGAAAGATCGATGTAAAGTGAGATTACATGTGAAAGATGGAAAAGTAATTCGCCAGTTGAATGAACACACCCATGAAGCATCTGCTGCAAAAATAGAGATTGAAAGGATAAAAACAACTATTAAGAAAAGAAGTGCTAAAACTCTCGATCCACCAACCGTTTTGGTAAATGAATGTTTATTAATGATGTTAGTTAAATTAATTTAATTTTTTTTTTTTTTTTTTTTTTAAATACAATATTTTTAATTTTAGTTTTTAATTTACATTATTCCATTAGTGTTTTAATAAGATCCTTAATTCCCTAAATGAATAAAAAGTCATATTGAAACTTGGATGTTTTCAATACTGGGGGAGGGGGAGTCAAAACAGTCTGACGCCTAAACAGTTGTGCGAATAGTCCAATTATTTTTCTGACGCCGAATTGGCCTACACCGAAACGTACCAAACCCTTCTTAGTTAGCTTAATGCTTTGCTACTTTAAAAAAAGAAGAAAAAAAAAACTCCATACCATTACAAAAGCAGTACTTATATAAACCTTTTAAAATGGGGTGGGAAGGTCACTCACATGTTTGATTCTCTCTTCATTTTCACTTTGGGTCACCTCAAGGGTGGGGACTGGACTTTTTAATTTTTTGCTAAGTATGAATAATTAAAGTAACCAATGCCATCATCTACATGGATTGGACTTGGTTAATTGAGTTTGTTTTGAGTTATAACCAATTGCACTTGTTCGTTTTTTTTTTTTTTTTTTGCTGTCATAGACACACATACACACACAAAATGGTTCAATGGAATGTTTCTTCTTTTTTTTTTTTTTTTTTTTTTTTTTTTTCAGACAGCTCAATTAGCTCCAAGTTACCCAACAAAAACTGAAACGACGACCAGACCAAAACCTGCTTCTGAAACACTGTCTTCTGCTAACTCTTTGATTCGAAATGATTCCCTGTCTCATCCAACTGCAGCAAAACTCCAGAAAAAAACAGAAAGACAGTTTGGGAACCAATTCTTTGAAGAAAAACGGTCAGTATTAACATGACAGTTTTTTTACTCAAGGGTAAAATCAAAGTGTACAAGTGGGTAGGGACAAACTTGACCAATGTAAGACTCATATCAGATAATTGAAAATCACGAGATAAACCATCACTTCTTTCTTTCTTTCTTTCTTTTTTTTTTTTTTTTTTTTTTTTTTTTTAGGAATCCTTGTGGGCTCAAAGTTTATAACTGGTAAATATTTATAGAGCTTGATGTTCCTTATTTATTTTTTTATATTAACTGTGATGAGAAAAGGAGCTTGGCCAATATATTTCCACAATTTAATTTTGAATTCTCAAAAAAAAAAACACAGAGCATATTATTCAGACCAGCTTGTCTGCTTTTGGTTAGTGTTCAATCCCAGGTAAATGCAGCAGCTTCATAAGTTGATCTTCAAGGATTAACTCTGCAAAATCTTTCTCCTCCTACCCTTAGCAATTGGCTTTGAATAAAAAGTTAAGCAGTACAATCATAACATTGTTATTGACGAAAATAGTTACAGATAGTAACATTCAAGTTGTATGTGTGTGTATATATATATATATATATATATGTGTGTGTGTATATATATATATATATATATATAATGATATTGGAGAGAAATGTGTGACAAGTGGAAAAAGTTTTTGTGACTCTTTTCAACCTTTAGGACTTCATTGGGTTAAAATTGTTTATGTTGGTGTGACTACACATGCACACAAACAAGAAATGCAGGGAATTTCTTTCTTAATCTAGTCAATTTCATTTAGATGATTTTTCTATTTCTTATTGTTTCCATCACTTTTGTTATTAGATATCCCACACTGTGATGATAAAAGTTCTACCAGAAATGTAAGAGCCCGGGCACAAATATACTGTAGATGACCTTGCAATCAAGGCACTCTCTAAACATTTTCATCATAGTGAATTGTTTTCTCCTTTGATCAGAGTAGAATTTTTTTATGCCAAAATTGTGGTCAGTCTCGTTACAGTGGGCAACCAACACAAGGTCATCCACATTAAACTTGCACCATAGTAAACAAAATAAATACTGACTCACTCAAGTATCCACTAAAAATAACATTTGAAGTAAAAACGTGTGTGTGAAATCACTCTATATCAGCATTCAGTAAATACTTATTGCTATTACCCCATTGCAACTATTTACAGTAATACCGCTACCCTGAAATTTTACATTTAGTCATATGACATGGAATATCTTTCTCTACTTTCTTCAAATTTTTGGATGCTTGCTGATGTTGTTTTTTTTGTTTTTTTATATTCTATTTATTACACCTGCTAAAACAAAGAGATAACCTTAATCTCTTTGTTTTACAATGATCTAATTCTTTTATATATATATATATATATATATATATATATATATATATTAGTACACAATAAAATCTAAAAATCACCTCATATGGGAACAGGATTATTTCAACCGACAAAATTCGTCAGTTTTATTCAGCCCTGGTATAGACTGAGTTTTTGTCAAAATTAGACTAATTCCAACACAAACTCAGTCTATACCCTTGTTGAATAAGACTGCTGAATTTCGCCAGTTGAAATATGCCTGTTCTCCATAGGAGGTGATTTTGGATTTTATTGTGTAATATTATTAATTATTTTCTCTGTTAATAAATACATTAAGCTCTTCTTTTTTTATGGATCAGTTTTAATATTTTTATATTACTAGGATCCACTTGGATTATATACCAATGGATTTATTACCTTTACTTTATATACACACACACATACACGGGTTGTAGCAGAAATGCTTACCACATTTTATAGACTCAAAAAAAAAAAAAAAAACAAGATAATTGCTATTAAACAATTTATTTCTGTTTAAGGGCTACAGTTTTATTCATTTGGCTTTAAAAATGACATCTTCCAAATGGGGGTTCCTATTTGCCATACACTGTGGTAGATGATTTCTAAAGTTCTCCATCACCCTGCTGTTCAAGTGTTTCGAAGTCTTCCAGGTGGCTTCCTTTTAAGCACTGAACTGTGGCTCTGAAATTTTCAGCTCCTAGCAGTATCGATTTTCTATCTGGGGACAGCATAATTCCAACATAATATGAATTACAGATTCACCTGTCTTAAAAAAAAGAAACATTTCAACAACAAACACACAATGTGCACCAGTACAAGACATGGTGGTAACTAATCATATATATATATATATATATATATATATATATATATATATATAAAGAAGAATGTTAAGACATTACCCAGATGAAGACCCCATTGTCACTTGTCTAAGTTCACTAGCACCACACAGGTGACAGTTTGAAATGTTGGAGGTATTTCTGCCACGCCGTGTATGTGTCTGTATAATTGCCATTTCTAAATTTTATATCTGGGAATATCTCTTATTTCTGCAATTTATCTCTTTGAATTTTCTGGCTTTACACATTAAATATAATGGTCTTCAGAAAGTAATTATGTTACCAGAAAGGATTAAAAAAAAAAAATGTAAATTAAATTCATTTAAATATTATTTATCAATAATGCAATGATATTGTTTTTAACAACTACAGCTCAATGAGGGGGCAAATCAAGGAAATCTGGTCTTTGCGAAAACATTTGAAAGAAACATAACGCTGAAATTTTACATCTAGTCATATGAATAGATTTTTGAAAATAGTAATAGAGACTTATAACTTAAAATCAAATTGCATTATTATGATTTATCTACTGAAGGCTTATGGACACATCAAGTTGAAACACCGGTTTCTGTACAATCACCAAAGTTAAGCAATGTCAAGTCTGGTCAGTACCTAGATGAGTGACCACTTGGGAATACCAGGTGCTGTAAGCTTGTATATGTGGGTGGTGTGAAGAATATCTTGGAATTGTTAATCAAAGAGCCAATCTTCAATTTCAGTCAGATTCAGCATTTTCACTTATGTCGCAAATACCCTTGGGAAAAGTATAGATCCACTTCTTCCACCCCCTCAGCCATGGGTTAATTAGTAATTATCAGTATCTCTAGAAAAAAAAAATCTTACAATCTAAAAATATTTTCTGGATTTAAATAACCTGCAATGAGTTGATAATTAAAAAACAAAAAACAAATCAATCCTCTACTGAAGCTCACTCTTCTTCATGGGAAAGTTAAAGAGCCAAGCAAATCATTTAAAACGGCAATGAGAAGATAATGTGAAGAGAAGAATTTTAAAAAAATGAATTCCATTCAGCTACATTTTTTTTTCTTCTCAAAAAATCAGTAATTATTTTTGGATTGTTTATACTGCAGTTGCACATTTTAATCTCAAAAGATTTTATTTTGCAAAAGCAATTTGATTGGCTAAATGTATTGCTGGATTAAATGGAAGTTCTATGCATTAAATCATTATTTTAAATATTATGATAATATAACAAAAATCCATAACAAATATTTAGAGAAGTCAAATACACATTTAAAATATCCCATAAACTAGATACCTCCATTTTGTCACTAAAGAGAAAAAAACAACGTAGCATGATGAAAAAAAAGGACCCAATCTTAATACAAAACAAAATTTTATCAAAATGTTTGTTATTAGTAAGAGGAAAGACCAAAGTTGTTTTTAATTTTTTATTAAATTTCTTAATCCTCTCTATCACATTGGAGATTTTTGTTAAATGACTTGTTTTTTTGTGTCAGTGATCAACGTGATATTTATGATTAGTGTTTTAGTAATTTTTTGAATCTTAATAATAAATATCAGAATAAAGTCAAACATTTTGACTAAAATTTTACAAAACCGTAATTAAACCATAATAACAGTCTTTGTAACAAAATATCAAAAAACAAATTAGACATTAATTCAAAATTTAAATAAAACAACTTATCCCAAGTTGAAATACTACTCAAATTTAAAATTGCTAATTTCTTAATTTGGGAAATATTTAATCTTCAAATCTCTTCCCATCTACATTGTGAGTTGCTTGGTGTTCTCGGGGGTTAAGACTTTCACATTGTTTATTGAGTAATGTTTATATTGAGAAAATGAACATTCAGCATTTATGCTGGTAACAGGCATCCATATGACTTTATTGGCAATCTGTTACAGAAGAGGAAATCTACTCTTATTTGCATTCCAAAATGATGGGATATTAAAAGGATTTGGTAAATCATCTTAGTAATTCACATACCCTTGGAATTCTTCAAAAAGATCAGTAGAAGGACATTGCAAATTCTTGATGGCTGCAAAACTATCTAAATCATGGCCTATACAAGGATCTAGGATCAAACAGGTGAGCTGCCTTGTAAAAGTTACTCACAGGGTGGGTATCTAGATATTTATTCATTTTTGAAAAAGATGTACTGAAAAAATCTTTGATAACTCTCTTTCTTATTGTGTTTTCTAGTTCAGACAGAAGACAATCAGTTTCTAGGCCAAATATTGAGTTTGATGTACCAGTATGCAAATACTATTTTACATCCTCTATCATGTTATATACAACACATGCAAGTGGAGACTTAGTTTCTTCTAAGTTTGTCAAAGCTGTTATTAAACGAGTGCAGTTCTCATTTATAAAATGCAGATTTAAGCTAAAATTATGGTAAGAGGCATGATATAGTCGACCATCATGTACTAATTCTAGAATCTTATCTACTGCAAAGCCATGGCTCTTTTCTTGCTTAAGGAATCCTCTATAAAACTGTACAAAGGATGAGTGCATTAAACCAGGACTTCCATCTGGTTGCTACTGGTACAGTTTGTTACTTAGGCAAGGAACTTTTAAGCCATTTTAAGTATCACTTTTTCCAACTAGGCTTTTTATAAGAATGGCTGAGCTGGAGTAACTGAACACAATTGACACTTGGAATAGCATCACCTTCTTTACAATGTTTTAATATGAATGGCCTCATTTTGTCAATTTTGTGTAGGGAAATGTCAAAGTGCACATTTTCAAAGAATCAAGGACAAAATCATCTCGTACCTCTTTACTTTTCAACAAAGTTGTGATTGTCTTCTGTTTTAGTTGAACAGACTTTTTTTTTGTTTAAGACTTTTTTGTCAAATGAGTTTTTGATTTGAATGTGATCTTTATGTCAACACTATGGAGACAGAATTTGCAAAATAACATTTTCTTCTGCACAAAAGTTATCAGGAAATTTCTCTAATCTAGCCTTAGCACAAATTTTAGATGCTGGGGTCATTTTGTTTTTGTTTTTTAGAGGAGTAGACCCAACTTTAGAGGTTGATTCACTATATCGACTTTATTCCGTCATCTTGGCAATTTGTTGCTTATTCATACAACTGGCCTAAACCAGTTACAAAATATAGATAAAATATGAAAAAATAATCATTGATAGTGAATATTATTTTATTTATTTATTTATTTTTTTTTTTTTTCTTTCCCCACTTTAAATTTGTTTACAATAGTGAAGCACTAGAGATGATGCAATTATTAATCTGGGAAAATCACTGTGTGACAGTAAGCTTAGATAAGTCAGTTGTTTCATAGAATGGTGTTTTTGGAGAATTTTTTCTTTATTTCTCAATTCTATGGTAGGCACATGATAGCATTTACATTACTTTCATATTCATAAAACAAGTTGTTTAGAATCTTTTACTTGTAAATTTTGTGAGGCCTAAAAGGAAATGAATTTGTTAAACTTATTGGTTTGATCTTTGTTTCTCTCTCTCTCTCCCTCCCTCCTCTGATTTTGACATTAACTAATATGTCTTCCATTTCCACTTTAGCAATGGATCTCAGTGGCCACAACTGAGTTGTGACCTTTTGACTTTCATCTTATTTGCTATATACAGTTTCTTAGAAAAGTTTAAAAATATAATTAAAAATAGACTAGCCAACATATTCTCAGAAAATTGACAACCCACTCTTTTTTTTTTTTCTGTAAACATTTTTGCTATTAATTATTTTTCAGGTTTTATAAGGAAAGTAACTATAAAGATTTGTTAAAACAAATTTTAAGGAAATAACTACGTTATGTTATTGTTATTTATTAAAATAAGGTATGTTCAATAATTCACCAAAAAAGCAGCATAGCATGATGAAAAAATGGCCCAAACATAATAAAAACAAAGTTTAATTGTTTTAAATTTTTGTTGAAAATCTTTTTCTTTTTTTTTTTTTCTTTTTTTTTACATCTTTTACTTTTTTTCTTTTTTTTAAAACATATTTCACTAAATATTTTCTTTTCAGTGAAAGATAAACTGCAATTATAAATTTTTCTTTTTTAGGTTCAATTTTAGGAATGGAGACTGTGCAAGCTTTGGACATATCTTCGTTAAAAAAAAAAAAAGTACCTAAAAGAAATTGATAAATACTAGACTTTTGAAAGTATTCAATTTTTAAGATTTACTTTATAATTAAATAAGCTAGTTCACTTAAAAATTAAAAATACTGTCACTTCTGCCCTTCCGTCCGATAAATTTCCCTAACTTTAATTGTCAATACATTGAGGTAAATGTCAATTCACATCTCCAAAACCAATCACCACTGTTAAACAAGCTTCTCTTATTTCCATCTAATTTTTTTTTTTTTTTTTTTTTTTTTTACTAAAAATATTAAGTAATGTTTGTTTCAAATTACATTAAGTATTCTTTAAATTTTCTAATATTCCTAAAATAACATGTGGGAAAAGTATAATAGAATTTTACAAGATTAGCAATGTTTTGAACATACCTAATTAAAATACTTAACAAAATCGGAGAGACAGTTCTAAAGAATTTAAAAAAAAAAAAAAAAAAATCTGTAAAAACAAAAATCAAACAATTGTGATTTATTATTGAAAATTACATTAAAAACCCAGATTCCGTTTAAGATTAACAATTCCATAATCACAGAAAATTTGTTCCCCTACTTGTGAATGCTGCCATAATCGTTGCCTTCAGGTCATCTTTAGTGTTAGGAGTTTTGTTGGTCTCTCGCTCAACTGAGCCTCACACATAATAATCAAGGAGGTTGTAGTCTGGGAAATTAGGTGGCCAGATGTAAGTGGTGATGCTGTCACAGAAATTATCTGACAGCCATGACTATCTTCTCCTGCTTGTGTGGCATGGTGCAGAGTCCTGTTGCCAGTCATAAGGTCTTCCGGCAACCACCCTCTTGACCCAGAGTAGCACTACCTCCTCAAGGCACTTGATATAGGCCTCTGTGTTGAGTCTAACATTCTGTGAGAAGATGAATGGAGGCATAACATCACTATCACTAGTGGCCACACCAAACACCTTCATAATCGCCATTAAACTCATCCAACTCTTTCCAACTCCTCTGCACTGTTCTCAGATTGACACCCAAACACTCTGAAATGTTTGTATTGGAGCTTCCAGCTCAAATGCCAAGCAGGACAGCATAATTTCTGCCAGAATGAATTGTGTCATGGTGCTCTTTTTCTCACAGGTGGTACCCAACCCAACTGACCCTACTATATTGTGCAGTCGACAAAATCAAAAACAATGTGCAAAATTAAAAATACAAAATTCCTTCAATTTACTCATCACAGCATATATATATATATATATATATATATCAGTTAAATGTCATTTTTAATGAATCATATTTGAGTAGATGCTCTGTTTATTTATTAAATGGTATATTTATATATTTTCGTTCAAGAAATCTTAAAGAATAATATGCAAATTCGGATCCTGCTGAAGGGTGTATATTTTCTTTAATAAAATTTTGCTAATATTATAGCTGATAGATGAGAATGAAATAATATACAATTTAATAAATAACTATTCAATATGAGTATCCACTAAAAATAACGTTTAAGTGATAAAAAAAATCTATCCATTACTTTAGAAATTGCTTTGTTTACCTTTGGATATGAAAATTTGAGAATCTAAGACATGAAGGATTCGTTTTAAAGGCAATATTGATCTTTGTTTGATTGGCAAACATCCTGTGTGTGTGTTATATATGAGAGATGTTGAAAAGTTCTTGGCTTTAATCACTTTTGAACAAATAACTGAATATTAAAATTGCTTTAGGATGACTTGATTGAAATAAGTTTTTGATGTATTTATTTAATAAATCCTACCTGTGACATCATTTACTTTAAACAGCTAGTTAATAATTGGTGTCAAATATTTTTAAAGGAAATATCTTCATTATCTATATTTTTATTTTTTTGTTTAAATGATTGTGTATTGTTTATATTTTTAGACAAATGGCTTCTACACAATCTCCTATGATATCTGCCCAAAGCAGCCCCAAAGGCAAGTGCAAGTGTTGGCACCCCAGTTCAAGTCACAGTGGCTAAGCCAAAGCCTGTAGAAAAGCCTAAGCCGGAAAAACGAATATTTGTTGGCAGATCATCAACGTTGTGTCATGTCTAATCTGGCCTCTCTCTGGAAAAGTGGAAAGTTATGTGATGGAGGTATAGGCAATGGATCATCGACGGTCATGGTAAGTTGGTTGCCTTTGTTTTTGGGAAGGCACTCCTCTCCTTACTGTACACTAAAAAAGCATTATTCTGTAGAATTAAATAATTTGCTGAGTGAAGAGATTGTACTGTTAACCTTGCCTTGACATTGTCTTTGTATACACACACACACACACACACACACACACACACACACATATTTGTAGATATTCTGTTTTTGATCTTTATGCCAAAATACTTCTATATTGTCATCATCAAGAAATTGTTTTCACGTATCCTCTTTTAAATATTGTCCACTTGATGAAAGAAATAAGTCTTTTTGTCCTGTATGTTTTTCAGGTGCACAAGGTTGTCCTTTCTGCTGTGTGTCCAAAACTGCTTTCGTGTTCAGTACGGACATTTTGTTTCCAAGTTCCTGCAAGTGAATTTCCCAGAGGAAGTTAGCACGAAGCATTAAATGCATTTGCTGAATACATGTACAATGGCATTTTAGATTTAGAACCGTGATTTTTTGGAACAATAAAGATCATTGCCAAGAGACTGGATATGAAAGAATTTGAACAGTTGTGTGATAGCCATCTTCCAAACCATGCATCAAACCGCTTCTGCTGCTGTTGCTTCCTTCTCTAATGTTCCCTTTGATTCTTGACCATGCCACTTCCTCCCATGACGTCATCTCTTCCTTCGCTCGGTTCCACCATCTCCACCTCCATGCACTCTGCCCCCATCTATCACTACTCAGGTCATTGATGTCAAGCAAGAAATCTCGGTGAACTGGCCCAAGTCAAGAAGGATCTGGCTGCAGTATTTGGCCAAGAATGGGAGGTGTCATCACTGGCTCAAACAAGTCTGGAAATGCTGCCGGTTTTGTCATTAGCCCTAGCATAAAAACTGAACCAGTTGGACCAGAAGGCGACAAATACGCCACTTGAGTAGTAGCAGCAGTAATCAAGCTTTCGTCGACTGCCTCATCTTCATCAGTTATCCCAAACAGCATCCACATCAATAGCATCAGTTCCAGCATCATCTACAAATTTGCCATTCCTTTCTCAGAAGCAACAGATGTGAAATCTACCAGATTAAAAGTCACTCACTCTTATGACCCTCCTCTTGTGTCAGACTTGTCACCTGTTTCTCGTATTGTCGAAACGGTTTGTTCCCAATCTAATCATATTAATGTAGACTCTTCTAAACCCTTAAGTTGGCTGTCTTCCTTCACAACTTCTACTGATGGCTCAACCACATCAACTGGTAATGAAGCTGTTTATCCTGTGGGACTTTTTACAGCAGGGGGAGACAACTTGCCTCTTTTAACGACAGAAACTGTTGATGTGAAAAATATTGACTTGTATAAAACAGATTTAACTTGACCTCGATGAATTGAGATTATTGAAAGAAAGATTTTTTTGATTTTTTTTTTTTTTTAAACTGTCTGTGCCACTAAGCTAAGCTTAGTAAAAAGAAATCTCTACCTGCATGTGTACAGCCCCAACCATGTTGATATTAGGACTAACAGCATTCACCTGCTACTTTCTAGTCAGGTAATATTTATCGGGAAAAGTGGTTTGCCCAAGAATTTACTCAACATGTACTTTCTTTGCCAACTGACATTTTATAATATACAATGAAGAATTTTTAATTTTGTATTAAAATAATGAAATAATTATTTTTAATTTT